GGGCACACCCCACCCTCTGGGCCTCGAGCCCAAAGTCACTGCAAGGCCTTGATGCATGGACGCCCCTCCCCAGGGATTTGGAAACTGAGAGTGGAAAGCACTTTCCTTCTGGCCAGAAGCCAGAGACTGGCCAAGCCTGAACCTTGGCCTGGGAGGAGGCGAGTCCCGGGGGTGTCCAGTGTGTCCCTCCCTCCATGCTGAGCAGCTGGGCAGCTGTGTTTCTAGAAGGGCTGTGATCTGAGGCTGGCATCAGACCACAGCTGGGACTCCTCCCGGGTGCCGAAGTCCGGTCCTCAGAGACTGTAACACAGGTTAGAAAATGACACATCAGCGGGACACGGGGGACAAAAGCCGGAGAGATTGGAAAATACACTTAGCAAGCTTAACTGCACACATAAAACTCTGCCCAGTGGAGAATACACATTCTTTTCAAACAAGGGTGGAGCATTTTCGGAAAGTGACCATGTCCTGTTACAAGGTTGTGTCTCACACTCTGTTTTCCTGGACCACAGTCCCCCGCTCCCCCAAATTGAAAAACGCTCTTCTAAATAAATCTTGGCTTAAAGAGGCAATCAGTCAAAATGGAAATTATAAGATATTTACACTTGAAACAGAATGACATAAAGTAATCCATGAACTGCAGCCGAAACAGAGCTCAGAGGAAAATGTATAGCCTTTGGGGCATTGACTAGAAAACAGGAAAGATGGGTGAATGAACTAAACTTTAATTCAAGATCGTCCACATGAGCTCAAGGAAGGAGGAAATCAGAATCCCCGCAGGTCCTCATGAAAGGAATGCCTAGACCGGTAGAAAGAGCAGGGTCCGGCCGCAGCCGGCTGTGTGACGTGGGGCTCGTTAACTACCCTTCTCTGAACTCCATTTTCTCCGTCTTTGCGACGGAAAAAAACAGACCTACTTTGCAAGGTAATCACCTGGGAGCAAGTTGACTGGGGAATAGGGAAATGCTTCAAACTGCGAGACAATAAAATCCCGATTCATTTATTCTTGCTTGGTTTCTGACATGCTTTTGTGCCTATACATTTTCCTCTGTGCACCAGTTTGCCTGTGCCCACAGATTCCCGTAGGAGCTTTGATTGTCAATTGGTTCCAAAGGTGTCATTTAGTTTATGATTCCCCTTGAGCCTAGAGGTGGCTCTTAGCCTTGCCAGGCCTCCCCTCCTGTCTGGGAACCAGCTCACTCTCTCCTTCTCTCCCCCCACATGCCAGTGGTCCACGCCGTGGACGGCACGGCGGAGAATGGGATTCACCCGCTGAGCTCCTCTGAGGTGGACGAACTCATCCACAAGGCGGACGAGGTCACGCTGAGCGAGGCAGGGTCTGCGGCCGGGTCAGCAGAGCCCCGGGGGCCGTCGGAGGAGGCAGTCCGGACCACGCCGTCCAGGCGGGAGATCACTGGAGTTCAGGCCCAGCCCGGCGAGGCCACGTCAGGCCCTCCTGGCATCCAGCCAGGCCAGGAGCCCCCGGTCACCATGATCTTCATGGGCTACCAGAATGTGGAGGATGAGGCTGAGACCCAGAAGGTGCTGGGCTTGCAGGACACCATCACCGCAGAGCTGGTGGTCATTGAGGACGCGGCCGAGCCCAAGGAGCCCGCCCCGCCCAACGGCAGTGCGGCCGAGCCCCCTGCCACCGAGGGCTCCAGGGAAGAGAACCAGGTGGGGCTCGAGGCCCCTGCCAGCGACCCCCAGGACCTCGACATGAAGAAGCAGCGCTGCAAATGCTGCTCCATTATGTGACCCACCCGGACCCCCAGACCCCGGCCCCGCCCTCCACACCAGACACCCACACGGCCCGGCCCTCCTGGCGCCCGTCCACCCTCCACCCACAGTCACGGGCCCAGGACATGCTGTGTCTTCACACGTTCCTTCTGAGTTTTCTTTCACCGGAAAGAGAGGGACAGGGGTTCCCCCCTCCCGTCACCCCCCCACACACCCTAAACCACTGAGCCGTGTACCCACGCCTGGTAGGAGAGACACGGACACACCCGCTTCTCCCCAAACGAGGGCCCCCCCATGTCACGGCAGCTCCACAGATGCAGCTCTTGCCCACAGCGGTCCTGGCTGGTGTGACCTGGAGCCTCCAAGCAGCCCCAGGCCAGCCCACCTCCCTCTGGGCCTCCTGCCTGTGCCTTCCTGCCACCTCCAATGAGGTCCCTGAGGGGACACCCTGCCGGAGAGGGGTCCCGGGAGCCAGGGGTTCTGGGGGCCTGCTCTGTCTCCGCTCAGCCTCTGGAAGTGGGGGGGGCGTTCCCTGGCCAAGGCGCTGGGTCCAGATCTCGGGCAGTTGGGCTGAGGCTGTGCCTCTTTGGGGAGCCCAAGCTCGAGGTCTTGGAATGGAGTACGGGCCCCGCTGGACACCCCAGCCTGATGTGCCCCTCCCCCCAATGCTCTATGTGGGCGCAGCCAGTGGACGATGCAACCTGGGAAGGGGGAGCCCTGAGGATATGCCACCCACTCAGGAGGGCCGTGACCGCTGTGCTGTCTTCTGGCCGGGCTGGGCCGGGGGTCTTCGAGCTGCCTCCTGAACAAGGCAGGGCCACGTGAGCCCCTTTATGTCCTGAGCTCCCACCCCCTCTGGGCCCTCCTTCCTCCTGGTGCTAATTCAGGGACCCTGGGGGACTGCCCCTGGCCTGGCCCCTTCTCCAGCCTGCTTGGACCAGGGTCCTGGGTCTCCCCACCCGTACCCCAGAGATCAGGCCCACCGCCAGCTCTGCTGGGCTTGGCTCATTCTGGGCAGTGGAGGGGGGCACACCACCTGGGACAGGGAGCTTCCCCTGGGTTGCAGCTGGAGACCCCCATTTGCTTCCCAGCCTGATGTGCGCCTGCCCCCCTCTCACTGGAAGCGGTGAGGGGCGAGGGGCTCCCCTCCTGGGGGCAGCTGACACCTAGATGTACAGACACATCTCCCTGGTTGCAGCCACACTCGTCCCCAGAGGCACATTAGTGCACCTGCTCACAGGCCCTCTCGTGTGGGCTGTGGATGACCAGGCCCCATCTCGGCCCCTCCCCTAGGGACCTGCAGCCTGGTGCCCAGGGCCCAGGCCGCCTCCCACCTCAGCAGGGTGGGTGCAGGGGCCGCCCTGGACCTCAGCCTGGGTCCCCATCTCGGCTCTGCCCCTGGGTGGCTGGGATGAGAGGCCCTCTCTGAGGTGACCCTGAGCAGTGGCCATGGAACCCCCCCTTCCTCCTCGACTCCACCTGAGTCCTCGAGCTGTGAGCCTCCGCTGAAGTGCCCTTGCTGCCCGCTCTGCTTTCAATGTGTGATGAGGCCCCAATGTTCTTGACTTTCCCAGAGACGCAAATAAACAGTGTGAACAGCCCCAGGGCCTGGAGTTCTTGGATTTCACCTGCGTGGGGAGGGTACGGCCAGGCCAGCGGGTAGGGCGCCGCCGGTGTAAGGCTCACAGAGCCCAGGGAGCTGGTTTCTCCTGTCTGCGGCCCACGCATCCCTCAGACTCACCCCAGTGCTGTGGGTGAGGGAGTTGGTGGAGTTCCCACCTGCACCTGTGGGCATCTGAGCTGCACCTGGGCAGGTAAGGCCTGGAGGTAAGGGGGCAGCTTCCGGTGGCAGGCCTTCCTTTCTGTTTCCTGTGGAGTCCTCGGGTTCCACACCTGGTCCACCCCATCCTTTGGCTTTGAGGCTGCCCCTTGCCGGGCTCACAGCCCCCGGGGGGCCGACACCCCTAAGCTCTGCCGAGAAGTCAGCCCCTGGGAAATGGGTGGGGACACGGGGAGGAAGCATTTATGGGGGCTGCCACCCCTGCTTCTATCACTATGTGATCTGGGTGGGAGGAGTGGCTGCTCCCTCTGGGCCTCGGTTTGCCCACCTGTACAGTGGGCTGTGTGAACCCTGAGGGGGAGGCCACCCCAGTCTGGGAGCAGGAGAGTGAGTCCTCACCTCTCAACATGTGCCCCTCAACATGCTGGATGACCCAGTCTGCCCTTTCCCCCCGTGAGCAGCCCTGCCAGATTTGGAGCTGGGGGCCCACTGGATGGAAGAAGAGACTGAGGTTCAGAGGGGTCCCACAGTCAGCCAAGGGGCAGGTCAGGACAGAGCCCTAGCCCGGGGGACAGAAGCCCCATCCACTGTGTCCCCTCCCCCGTTGACTGACCACTGTGCCCAGTGGCCTGACTTTCCCGCAGACGCTGGGTTCCGTGGCTCTGGCAGGTCCTCTGCACCTCGACCAAGAATCAGGACAGCCAAGCACCTGGGACACCCACCACCCTCTTCGAGCCTCCGTGCCTCCCTCTGTCAGTGGGGCCCGGGCCCTGCCCATCCCAACGCTTTCTGGTGCCTTTATGTCCTCATTTGGCCCTTTATGTAGAAGTGGGCTGGGGGCATCTCCCAGCCCTGTGATGTCCCCATTTCCCGGAGGAGGAAACAGAGGCTCAGAATGGTTAAGTGGGATTTGAACCCAGGCCCAGCTTAACGCCCCCAGAGACTAGGAAGCTGGGCTGGTCCCAGAAAGGAGCTCTCTGGGGAAATGGCCCCAAAGGGTGGGTTAAGCCAGGTGGCACAGTGGGGGTTTGGACTTGAACCCCCACCCCCCGCCCCGAGAAACAGCAGCTGGTTCGTGGACCAGCCATGTGACCCCGGGCAAGGGACAGCGTCTCTCTGAGCTATGCTGAGAGGTGATGGGAAAGCCAGACGGCAGCTGGAAGGTTTCTGGGTGAGTTCTGGCTGCAACTTTGTGGGCTGGGGGCCCCTGGGGCCCGAGGGGCCGTGCACCATGGGCGTGGTGCCTGCCCTCTACTCTGTGGTGTCGTCTTTCTCCTCCTCCTCTGGACTTTGTTTCTTGAGCCCAGGTGGGGCCTGGGAGGAGGGGGTGCACCTGCTTCACGGGGCGGGGCTCTGTCCCCTGGCAACCTGGGGCAGGGCGGGGCTGGGAGGCCCCTGTGCCGTCCACAGAGTCAGAGCCAGGCTTGGAGGCTGCTGCGGCTCAGAGCCGAGAGGTGAGTCTGGGGAAATGGGGGGGCGGGGGTCCTGAGTGGGGTGGGCTCTTCTTTGGGCATGGGCGTTTGTGTGCCAGCGGCACCATCTGCTCACCGGCGGGGCCTTCAGGGTACAGGGAGGGAGCCCCCAGCCCCACCCTCAGCCCCCTCCAGACTCAGTGGGGTCCCAGGGGCTGGCGGGGGCCTCCCCTCGCTCTGTACCCGCTGGCTGGCTCTGAGGCCAGGTCTGTGCCCTTCCCACGCTGCACCCGCCCAGGGGAGCAGAGCCCCATCCCTGAACTTTGCCAGGTCCCCAGTCTCCACCCCGGGCTTCAGGACCCCAAATCCAAGGGGCCTTGATCTCTGACCCTCTAAGTGAGGGGCCTGACCGGCACCCCCAGGGCCAGAGGCACAGGGCCCCCCACTGGTTCTGGGAATTCTGGAGCTTTCTGGGGAGATGCTTAGCCCCAGCCAGCGCCCTGCTTGGGGAGGCCTTAAACAGCCTACAACCCTCCCGTGGGATCGGAGGGCTCCTAGGAGGGGGATGGGGCAGTCAGCGTGGGGAGGTGTCCAGCCTCTGGGAGGGCAGCTGGGATCCTGTGGGGCCGGTTCAGAGACTTGGCCCAGTGTCCAGGTGTGTCCAGGGGTTGGGCCTCTGCCAGCCAGGGTCCCGGAGACCGTAGCCCCGAGGGACAGAAGAAGCCCAGGAGCCCATCCCTGCTGAGCCCCAGGCCCCTCCAGCAGGCCTTTGCCCAAGGGCAGGAGGCCAGTCGCGGTGATGAGGAAGCAGGTGTGTGGCACCAGGGACCATAAACCCAGTTTCAGTTTTGGTATCAACAGGGTACAAAGCTGGGGCTGGGGAGGAGCCATCCAGGGGGGCTTCCTGGAGGAGGAGGTGGAGACTCCCTGGCTTCAGAACCTGTTGCTCTGTCACTCCCTGGTGTGACCCTTCTCTGGGCCTCGGTTTCCTCTGCTATATGTTGGGGAGAAGAATGGTTCCCCTCGTCACAGGCTCTTATGAGAGGCAAAAAAGCTGCCGGTGTGAGATGCCCAATTACGAGGACCCCCACCAGGAGCTGGGAGGCTCTGAGCGCTATTGCTACTCATTTGCACAGAGTCCACGAAGCCTCCAAGAGGGCGTTTCTCCCCGAGGGTTTCTCTGCGCCAGGCACCCACTCAGGCCTCCTTGATCCTCCCTACACCCGGCGGTGGGGTCAGCAACGTTCCACTTTACAGGCAGGGAGACTGAGGCTTTTTGAGAGGGAATGCCTGCCCCAAGGTCACTTCGAGATCGGTGGTGGATCCAGGGTATAAATAATAACATCAGCCACTGCCGTGAAAGCATTTATCGAGCGCCTACTGTATACCAGGGACAGGGCGCCGAGTCTTCACGGCAGCCCTTCGTGGTGGCAGCTGCGTGCTCTGGACTCTGCCTACTGTCCAGGTGTGGACACTGAGGTCGGAAGGGAGACTTGCCCAAGGACGCAGGCGAGGGGGACCCCACCCCACTGACCTCAGTGAATCACCCAGAAGGAATGGGCTGAGGAAGGAGCAGTCCCCCACACTGCCCCACCCACAGGCAGACTTGACACCCTCTGGGCGTGCGGTTCTTTTTCCCGGAACGCGGCTTATAAATCCTGCTGGGTGAGCCTCTGGCCCCGCACTAGGCAAATGGTTCTGAGTCAGTCCTGCCACACCTGCCCCCCGAGGGGAGCTGCAGGGCGCGGGCACCCGACCTGCCGTCCAGGGGGGGCTGGGGCTGGAGGGTTGTTTTGGAGGGGCATCCGGGTCTGGGCTAGAATGAGCCCAAACCCTGGGCCCTGAGCACCCAGAGTGAGAGTCAGCCACTGTGTACCTGCTGTGTACCAGACTCCGGGCTGAGGGAGGGGGTGCTCACCTGGCCCACTGGGAGGGCGAGAGGGTCCTGGCTGATGGCTTCAGGTGGGAGGTGACAGGCCTCAAATAGAACCCTCTCCCTTCAAAGAGATGTGCACCCCCAGCCACGTTCATCATTGGGACAGAGGCTCTGCCCGCTTGGCTGGAATTTATTACCCAAGCCTGCTTGTTTTTTAATATTGTTTTCTTAATTATAGTCTCAATATTTGAAAGATTGCGTGATGCTGCGTTAGGTGTAACATGGTTCCCCATGATCGACTTCATGTTCAGGGAGGGTCTGCATTTTTCTTTTTAAAACCATGTTTAGCTTTCACAAGCAAGTTGGTGTAAAAATGCAGCGATGGACCCAATAGCTCTGGTGGCACCGGGGGGCCAAGGCCGGGGGACCATGGTCGCTTGAGGAGTTGAGTTCCTCTCCTCAGCTGTAAAACGGTGGCTCCACACTGTGCCGGGCTGGGTACACACAGGATGATCAGGCCACAGGTTCTGAGGGTGGGGACAATCTGGCGGCGGGGGTGGGGGGGCTCCCTGGAGGAGGTGTCCTGTAGGCTGTAGCTAAGAAGGCTGTGGAGGAACAGAAATAAGGGTCGTTCTGGCACAGGCAGGAGGAAGAGGGTCGACCTTGGGGTCTGGTGCCTGCAGAGTTTGGGGGTTTGGCCTGAGGCCGGATGGCGGTCTTGAGAGCCCTGGGTAGGGTGTGAGGATGCCAGGAGTCACAGAGGTGTGAGAGCAAGTGCCAGGCCTTCACGACGGCTCCTGGAGCTGTGCTCAGAGGGAGCCGGGACTCTTGGGAGGGGGGCTGGGCCCCCTGGAGCACTGGGTCAGGGTGTCGCCCGGCCCAGCGGGACAAGGTCCAAGGCGCTCCTTAGCCCAGCCTGGCTTTATGGTGCTGAGGAAAAGGATTGTCTGGGATGGGACAAGGTGTCCTGCTGGACAGGTGCAGGAGAGAGAACCAGGGTGTGGGAGTCTGCTCGTCACCACCCCTCTCTGGGTCTCAGTTTCCCCACTTGACATCCCCAAGAGAGGGGCAGGCCCACTGGGCTCATCTGTAAAGGTCAGATGGAAAAAATCACAGAAGGAACCTCAGGGTGTGTGTGCCCTGGGAGAGAGGCTGTCTAGGGGTGGCCCTGGGTCTGGAAGCGGTGAACTGGGTGGAAGGCTTACCCTGCAGGGTGTGCAGTGTCTGGCAGAGGAGGTGGGAGGGGTACCTGCAAATGTTAGACACACAGGGGCCGAGTCGTTGGGTCAGTACAGGGGCACCTAGGGATTCAGGTGTGGCTGGATCCAGGAGCTCAAACAAAGTTTTTAGGATGCTGTGTTGGGATTGGGGGTGCTCTTAAGCAAGATGCGTCCACAAGAGGACACATATGGCCCCCCAACAGCTCTCGGCCTCATCCAACCAGCCTAATAAGCCCAGTGGGAAGAGGGTCCAATTTTCCACGTTAATTGCAAAGTCCCAGGATTTCACGTCATTGGCCAGGTTGCGTCACATGTCCATCCCTGAAGCAATCGCAGAGGCCAAAGGGTGGAATGTTCTGATTGGCAGGGCTGGGTCACCTACCCTTCCCTGGGCCAGTCACAGAGGCCACTTGGCCAGGACTTTGCCCTTGAAGGGAGTGGGATTGCACCTCCCCCCAGGTGCTCTGACCTGGTGACTGACATGTCTTTCTCTTCCCTCAGTGAGCCCAGATCTTCTCCACCCTGGGATCCTCTGGTGGGCAGAGACCCCAAGAACATGGACCGAGTGACCAGATACCCCATCTTCAGCATCCCGCACTCACCCCGTGTGGCCGGCATGGCCTTCAAAGGCGACACCAGCTACTCGTTTGAGCTGGTGGACGTGAGGTCCATGGCCAGAGGCTGGGGCCAGGATGAGCCAGTGGCATGGCCTGCTGACCACGAGGCCTCTCTGGAAATGGTGCAGACGGGGACACCCCTCAGCCTGCGTGACTTCCCCGGCCGGCTGGCCCCACAGCTGCCCTGCCCGGAGGACAATGAGACGGAGGTGAAGGCCTACCACCTGGAGGCTGGGGACACCCCGCCCTGGCGGCCACGTGACCTGGAGTGGGAACGCCGGGCGGTCATTCAGGACCAGGCGGTCAGGAAGAGCGGCACGGTGGCCATGCTCCGTGGCACCCCTGACCACGGGGAGCCCAGGAGCCCCGGCCGCCCGCAGTCCACGCCCCTGGAGGAGAACATGATTGACACAGAGCAGATCGACTTCCTGGCAGCCAGGCGGCAGTTCCTGAGCCTGGAGCAGAGGAGCGCTCCACCCGGGGCGGCCCACGCCCGTGCGGGGGTTCCTCGGATCCCACCACCTGGGGCCAGCCAGGCCTCCAAGGCCCTGAACGGGCCACCCCTGGTCAATGGGTATGTCGTCCCAGTCAAGCCTCAGGAGAAGGAGGTGGTCATGGACGAGAAGAGGGTCCACGGTTTACCCGCCAGCTCTGGTGCCCGAGCCTCGGATGACCCTGGTTCCTGGTCCCAAGAGGGGTCCCCGGAACCCGCCAAGGAGACGCCCATTGAGCGGGAGATCCGGCTGGCCCAGCAGCGGGAGGCAGACCTCCGGGAGCAGCGGGGGCTGCAACGGGCGGCCAGCCAGCAGGAGCTGCTGGAGATCCCGGCCAGGCCGCTGCTGAGCAAGGCGAGCCCGGCCACGGCCCCGCGGCCGCACAGGGGGCGCCCGTCGCTCTACGTGCAGCGGGACATTGCTCAGGGGTCGCAGCGCGAGGAGGACCACCGGCGCGAGGGCCTGCAGGTGGGCCGGGCGTCCACATCCGACTGGTTCTCCGAAGGCCCCCAGCCCATCCTCAGGAGAGTCCACAGCGCAGACTCCATCCTCAGCGCGACCCCAGATGCCAGCGCAGCCAGCCCCACACCAGAGGTGAGGAAGGTGAACCGCATCCCACCTGATGCCTACCAGCCATTCCTGAGCCCCCGGACGCCCCCGGGAGGATCCCCAGCCTTCCACACCTACCGCAAGCCCAGCGGTCTCTCTGCCGATGAGGCCAGGCCTGTGGGCTCTCCAAAGGCCACGGGGTCTCAGAGGCATCCCTCGGGATCCTCTGCAAAGCCTGCAAGCACAAAGCAGGAGCCTCCCCGGGGACCCCTGTGTGCCAACAGGGGTGTCGTGCGATGGGAGTACTTCCGCCTGCGTCCCTTGAGGTTCGGGGTCCCGGATGAGCCTGAGAAAGCTGAGGCCCCCCGAGTTTGGGGCTGGGAGGTGGCTGGGGCCCCGGCACTGAGGCTACAGAAGTCCCAGTCATCAGAGCTGCTGGAGAGGGAGGTGGAGAGCGTCCTGCGGCGGGAGCGGGAGGTGGCTGACGAGCGGCGGAGCGCTCTGTACCCTGAGGTCTTCTCCCTGCCTCCAGACGAGTGCGGTGACCAAGATTCCAGGAGCTCCTCCCGCGCATCTGGTGAGGCAGGGTCCTGGGAAGGGCTGCTTTGCTCAGAGTCTCAAAGGTTGGAGCAGAGGAGGGTGGCATGAGGAGCGTGAGGGTGCCAGGAGAGGCTGGGGGTGGGGGGGCATCTGGGGGACTTCGTCTACTACCCCGGTCAGCTGGTCTGTCTGCTTAAGCAGTAGCTTTTGGAGAAATAACTTTGCCTTGGGCTTTTTCTTTATGCATTTGGACACTTTGTTGTTAGGTGCATAAAGGTTTACAGATGTCCTAGCCTCTTGGTCGATTGCTCCTTTTCTGTCAAGGCAAAATACCCCCCGTGTGACTTTTAATGTTTTTCTCCTTGTGTGGTCGGCTCAGCTGTGGATCCAGTTTCTCCTAACTGGCTATGTGGGTCACTCTGTCTATCAGTTTTTGCAACCTGCTGTCTGCTCTGTCTGTCCATTCACCCATCTCCTTAACTGGTCCAGCCTCTTAGCCAGACTCTGTGTCCCTTGGGCTGGGGTCTGACAAATTTTCTGCCCTCAGGAGACCCCGGGATCCTCCCTGATGCCCTTTCTTTCCTTCCCTACCCCAGGCATCACGGACAGCTACTCGGTGTCTGAGTCACACGTTTTCACCCCCATCCATCTGCACTCCGGCCTGGTGTGGACGGCAGAGGCCTCAGCTGAGGATGCCCCCAGGCAGAGGAAGAAGAATGAGCAGTGGGTGAGTCTCGAGCCCTGCCATGCACTTGGAGGCCTGGACAAGGTCTGACGCTCCCCATTAGGGCCAGGGAAGGTCAGGCAAGGCTCAAGCGTGAGCTGGGTTTGACACCTGCCTCCCTCACTGCCCTGCCCGTGACTGTGCGCCTGTGTCCCCCACACGTGTGGCGCACGATGGGTAAACTGGGCCTCTCTGCATGTCTGGGCCACATAAGCAGGGTCCCCACCATGAGGTTGTCCCCCTGAGCCAAAGGCTGAGAGGCAGCTCCGCTTGGAGGAGGAGAGCTGTGGCAATCTATCAAAATCACCCTTATTATTTTCATGTGTTTATTACCATCATTGTTATTTCTGATTATTATCCACACCTCATGAGGGATGTCTCAGAGCTCTGCACACACTCTGCTTTTAACACCCTGGAGGGATGTCCTGTGGCCCATTCTCTGGAGAAAGCTGTAGTCGCCTATGCCCAGGGTCATACAGTCTGAGCTCCCAAGCCAGGACTTGAACCCAGGCCTGACTCCAAACCCCACATTCCTAACCATGAGGCCCTCTCCTCCCTGGGCGGGTACTGTTGACACCATGGAGAATAACACCAGCTCCAGCCTCGCCAATCTGGTGCTCAGAGACTGGCCCAGAGGTTTGGGGCAGAGTGGAGCCCAGGGGCCTGGGTTCAAGTCCCAGCCCTGCAGCTTGCCAGCGGTGTGATGGGCAAGACCCTACTCCTCTCTGACCCTCAGTCTCCTCCTCTGTAAAATGAGCATGATAATAAGAACAGCGCCCTTCCAACCTTAGAGTAGGGCCTGGCCACAGCAAGAGCTCCATAGATGTCAACTGTCTTTATTACGATGACGTTTACAAAGAGAAAACAGTTGCAAATGACGGACCGAGGCGTCACTGAGGAGAGCAGCATGGTGGATGGCTTTGAGTTTGGGGTGATTGGGGGGACCACGGTGGGCAGGGAAGACCTTCCCTTCTGCCCCAAGTGGTGACTAAGGGGGCTGTGCATTGAGTCCAGGGGGGCTCTGGGGTGGGCAGGGCTAGAGGGCCCTGGGGGCTGACATATGTTCCTTTCCTGTAGTATGCCGGCCTCAACCCCACTGACCAAGTCAACTCGGAGGTGAGTGTGCTCCTGGGGGCGAGGACCTGAGCCTTTCCCTCCCACATCTGTGCCCCCTGCCCTATTGCGTCAGGGCCCTCAGAAGCCCTTCTTCTGGGTGTGGGGACTTCCCTGGATACCTTCTTGATTGATAGTGTCTGCCTGAGGTGGATTTTTCTGTGACCTGCTTTTGATGCCTGTCGTGAGCATAGATTGTGGAAAGAGGTTCCATGTGCAGCCTCTTTACCAGATGGTTTTGGGGCTGACTCGGCCCAAGACAGGGGCATTTTCTTTGAGGGAGGCATTTCATCTGAGATGTGTAGAAGGCCAGCTACCTCAGTGGATTTGTGGAATACATTTGTGACCCTCTTTGAGCTGAGTCCAAAATGCCAGACCCGGGCATTTCCCTACTGTGGAGCTCAGCATGAGTTAACACATTCCTTGGCACTATTACTAGGAGTAGAGGGTCTGGAACAGAGGAGGGGATGGTCCTGCTTTACCCCTGCTCTAGGCCTCTCCTATGGGTTAGCAGCGAGGGGAGCTAGGACCTTTTGGGACCCCCTTTTGGGGGCGTTAGGACCCCGATGGGGACTTCGTGCCTCCTCTTGCAGGTCTTGGAGGCCACACGGGTAACCCGCCACAAGAACGCCATGGCGGAGCGCTGGGAAGCCCAGATCTATGCCAGCGAGGATGAGGATTGAGCCTGGGGCCGGGCGCCCACCCCCTGCCCTGCCCTGCCCTGGGCCCTGGGCCCTGGGAACTGCGGACCATCCTGAGCCCCCGCCTTAGGACATAGGTTCCTCTTTAAATCCAGATCCAAGAACCTCAAATCTCATGCTGCCAAGCCCAGGGGTGGACGCACTTTTGGGCTTGAGGTTTTTCTTTTCCGCTTTTCTTTTCCTGCAGAAATCGTTGTGCTTTCTGGGTCAAAAGCTGGGGATGACTCCTTCTGCCCCTATGATGTTGCCAAACGCTCCTGGGTCCGGGGAAGAAGGAGACCAAATCCCCCACCTCCAGATGTAATTGTTCCCGTTACTCTGAGAGGGGAGACGCTCAGCTCCTTCTTCTGGGACATCCCAATCTAACAGGGGAGACCTGCCCTGCTCCAGCCCTGGGAAACCTCCAGTCTGAGGGCCAGCCCCGGACAGAGAAAAGGGCTCAACGTGGGGTCTGAAGGGGGTCCTTCTGTCCCCCCATGAAATAAAGCAGCTGCGGGGCCGTCCCCCGCCTGGTGTGGTCGGCCGCCCTGGACCTCTCCCTTCCCCTCTGCCTGCTTCACTTCTCTGGGTGATGTCACTGCCCCCAGGGCTGCTGCTTCCTGCCTCTGCCCCTACCCCACCCGGGCTGTCCCCCACATCCCTGAGTGTAGTATACAGAAGGTGCTCAAGCAGTGCTTGTTCAGTGAGCAAGTGACCGTCTCAGTTCTCCCACGTGGCCCCGTCAGTCATGCTCGGAGCACTTATTAAGCGCTTGCGGAGTCCCCAGCCCTTCTGGCTTCCATATTCGGAGCACTTATTAAGCGCTTGCGGAGTCCCCAGCCCTCTGGCGTCAGGGGAAGTTGGAGGGGTCTTTAGTTAGGCTCCGCGTGTGCACCAGGGGCACAACCCCCGCAGAGAAGGTCATCGTGGGCAAGGCCATGGGCAGCGGACTCAAACCTGGCTCTGCTGCCCCTCTGTGTGGCCAAGGGGCCCCTCCACCTGCCCTGCCTCCGTTTCCCGCCCCCACCCATGGGGATGGTGATGGGACCCCTGGCCTTGACCCCAGAATGACCCCGATGGCAGCCCCCTCCTCCCACCAGCCTGGGCCTCCAGAGGCTAGGAGCAACTGGTGGCACCCAGCCAGCAGGGCCTGTCCCCTCCTGCTGCCCCCGGCCCCTCTCCTCCTTAAAACTCCTTCCCCTGCAGTCGCCGCAGGGAAAACGGCCACAGCTATTCTAAGAGCTGCATCTTGAAAGCGGCCCACGTGGGCCAGGGAGGCTCTGTGGCCTGAAATAGCTGAGGCTGCGGGTCTCCAAGGGTGCCCGGGGCAGGGGTAGCTGAGGTCGAGGGGGGCTGCTTCGGGCAGAACAGGCCATCTGAGGCAGGAGGGCATCTGTCCTCATGGGGAGCGCCTGGGCCCGGCGGCGTGCCCCTCGGTGGCCAAGGTCAGCTCTTCTCTGGGGTTCCAGCCCCAGGAACCAAATGTGGGCCCCCGCCCTTCAGGAAAGCATTTTGGGGCTTTAGATACAACCTGCCTGAGTCTCGCCAGGTCCTCCCCCATGTCCCAGCACATCCTTACCCTGGTGTCCATGGGTCGGTCCCCCTGGTCCCCCTGCTCTGAGGATGTGAGTCTCCTGGGGTGACTGGAACAAGTCATCGTGAACAAGGGGCTTAAACCAGCACAGATTGGTTCTCTGACAGTCCTGGAGGTCAGGAGTCCGACTCGGGTCTCACGGGGCTAAATCCAGGTGTGGGCAGGGCTGGTCCTTCCGGAGGCTCCAGGGCAGCATCGGTTCCTGCCTTTTCCAGCTTCTAGAGGCGCCGCATCCCTGGCTCGCGGCCCCTCCTGCATCCTCACAGCCAGCAGCGCAGCATCTCCCGTCTCTCTCTGCCTCTGACCATCCTGCCTCCCTCTTATAAGGACCCTGGGATGACGCTGGGCCCCTCGGGGAATTCAGGGTCCTCCCCATCTCAGGGGTCTTAACTCAATCCCACCTGCAAAGTCTCCTCTGCCCCATGACACGTCTGCAGTTCCCGGGACCAGGACGGGGACGTCATGGGGCCGTTATTCTGCTGACCAGACACAGAAGGACACACAGTGTGTGGTTCCACTCACAGGGGGGCCCTGGGGGAGTCAGATCCACAGAGACAGGAAGTAGATGGTGGGGGGCCAGGGGCCGGGGGAGGGTGGGGAGTCAGGGTTTCATGGGGACAGAGCTTCAGTTTGGGAAGATGAGAAAGTTCTAGAGGTGATGGTGGGATGGTTGCACAACAATGTGAGTGTGCTTAATGCCACCGAGCTGTGCGCTTAAAAATGGTGAAGATGGTGAATTTTATGTTCCGTGTATTTCACCACAAGTTTTTGAAAAGAGAGAGAGAAAAGTATTCTCTCGCTTGAAGACCTCAGAAGCCCCTTGGGAACAATCCAGGAATGATCCAGTTACTGGCTTAAAAAGATGAGGAGTGTCCTGAAAAGTGCAGCGTCCTTGAAGTTCTTGATTCGATGAGGCTGGTGGGAAGGTCTTGCTTTGATGATTCACTTTTCGTTTAATTCTTCTCACCGGCCTCTGCCCTTAAGGAACGAAGAGAGAATTCTATCCACCTGCCAGGCTGCCGTCCCACAAGGCTCTGGGCGAGAGGTTTAAATGAAGTCTTAGTGCAATTCCCAAGGTGGGGGGGGTTCTGTCTGGATGGGGGCCGAAGTGGGGACAAAGCCTGGGTCTGCGGGTCCCGCGGCCGTTCAGTCTTTCCTGGTTTCCTCCCAGCTTGGGGTATATGAGCCGGGGAGGGAGGGAGTTTTCTCGAAGGCCATTAGAAAGGCTGAAACACAAGCCGAGTTTCCAACTGAAAAGCCAGAACCCTTGCTCACTCTCAGCGTTTTTCACCTTCTCTGGCAGCATCGCTCTTATTTAGTTAACTCCTGCGGGACCACGTGGGGATCAGGGTCCAGGAGCCGGGCTGCCACTCCGGGCTCTGGGGCTCACTCCCTGTGTGTATCCGTCAACTTCTGCTGTGTGACAACCATCCCAGCCCTCAGTGCTCCAACAGCAACTGCTACGAGCTCATGATCCTGTGGTCAGCTATGGAGGTGCTGCCTGGTCTGAGGGAACGCTCACCCACACGTCTATCGGCCAGGGTGGCAGGGGGAGGGATGGGAGATAACATTCAGACGCCCGGTTCCATTGAAAATCAGGCCAACGATGAATGACTTTTCCAGTATAAGTATATCCCGTGCAATGTTTGGGACATCTTTACGCTAAATAAAAACCACTCATTGTCTCTTTGAAGGTCAAATGTAAGTGGACGTCCTGGGTTTGTATTGGCTGAATCTGGCCGCCCTGGACAGGGCGCCACGGCCGGATCTCGGTCAGACTGGCGGGCTCATCTCCAAGGTGCTCACAGGAGCCCCGGGCACAGCAGGAGAGGCAGGTTCCAAAGCACCAGCATTAGCGTGATGCTTGTGTCACACTGGCCGCTGTCCCTCTGGCGACGCCACGGGTGTGACCAGCCCTGAGTCAGGACAGATGGGAACTGCAAGGCTGGGTGGCCACGGGCACTTCCTCCACCTGGAGGGGCAGGTGGACCCTACGTCAGTCACGCTGCCCCTTGGAGGTGACGGGCTGTACGTACTGGGCTGGAAGATGTGCAGACACCCACTTAGCGGCTACAGGGCCAGCTGTGACAGTTGGGGCCCCAACGGTGCTCCTGGACAAGCAGGCTCGTGTATGAGGGAGAAAGCGGCGGCGCCTCCGTGCCTGACATCCAGCGGAAGTGTCCTCACAGAGTATGGGGCACCCAGTGCCCTCCCGGGAAAGAGGCAGGTCCTGCCCTAGTATAGGGGGAATCCATCAAAGGCCCTGATTGTTGAGGGGACGATGTCCAAGGCAAAAGTCACAGAGAATCCCCCCTACTGTCTTAGGTCACAGATGTGCCCACGTTCATAAAGGCAGGTCAAAAATAGCACACGTGGACTTCCCTGGTGGCACAGTGGTTAAGAATCTGCCTGGCAATGCAGGGGACACGGGTTCGAGCCCTGGTCCGGGAAGATCCCACATGCCGTGGAGCAACTAAGCCCGTGCGTCACAACTAGTGAGCCTGCTCTCTAGAGCCCGTGAGCCACGACTACTGAGCCCATGTGCCACAACTACTGAAGCCCGCGCACCTAGAGCCCGTGCCCCACAACAAGAGAAGCCACCGCAGTGAGAAGCCCGCGCACCGCAACGAAGAGTAGCCCCCGCTCGCCGCAACTAGAGAAAGCCCGCGCGCAGCAACGAAGACCCAACGCAGCCAAAAATAAAATAAATAAATAAAAATAGCACACGTGAGTCAGCACAGCAGTGAGCTGGCACGCAGGGAAGGATGAAGGGGGCTCTTTGGCCTTGCCTGGAAATTTAATGTTCAATCACTAGGCTGTGTGAGTGGGTAGCTTAGAGACTGGGTATTGATTACTGCAGAAAAGGGACTTTGGGCAGATTGGCTGTATTACTTAGCATTTGCTGTGGAACAAACGAACCGACTTAGCTGCTTTAAAAACAGTTATGTATTTCCCCACAGTTTCTGAGGGTCAGAAGGCCAGCACAGGGTGGCTGGGTCCTCTTCTCAGGGTCCCACCGGGCTGTAATCAAGGCGTTGGCTGGGTTGCGTTCTCATCTGTAAGCGTCTGCTTCCAGGCCCCTTCGGGTGTTGGCAGAATTACTTTTCTACATTTGTAGGACTAAGGTCCAGTTTCCTTGCTGGCCACCCCAGGTCCCTGCCACACGGCCCCCTCCACCAGCGGTTCAGCACATGGCTGTTTGCTGCTCCCCAGACTTTTATGAACGCCTCACCTGATTAGGCCAGGCCCACCCAGGAAGATCTCTCTTTCAATCAACTCAAAGTCAGCTGATTTGGGGACTTTGATTGCCTCTGAAAAAGCCCTTCACCTTTACCAAATAATGTCTCACCCACACTCAAGGGGGTTGCGCACGGTGTGTACACGAGGACAACTCAGAATTTGGGCCATTTTGGGGGGACCTAGCATGGGGTTTAGGGCATGGGCTCTGGTGGGAGAAGTTGGGTCCGAACCTCATCCCCAGTTCCTCCTCTTCGCCCTCGACATCTTAAACGGGCGGCAGGGGGCTGGATTCAGAACACAGGCCTCTCTTGGCCATCAACATTAAAATTTTTTTTTCTCTTTTAAGGAATTTGCAATGTTTAAAAATCAGGAGGGCTTCCCTGGTGGCGCAGTGGTTAAGAAGCCGCCTGCCAACGCAGGGGACACGGGTTCAAGCCCTGGCCAGGGAGGATCCCACATGCCGCAGAGCAGCTAAGCCCGTGCGCCACAACTACTGAGCCTGTGCTCTAGAGCCCGCGAACCACAACTACTGAGCTCGTATGCCACAACTACTGAGCTCGCGCTCCACAACAAGAAAGGCCCCCGCTCACTGCAACTAGAGGAAGCCCACGCACAGCAACGAAGACCCAACGCAGCCAGAAGTAAATAAATTTTAAAAAAATAATAATTTTTTTTAAAAATCAGGAAATTTTAATAAAATCTGGATTTCTTGCTTTTCTTGAGAAAGCTGTGCATGGCTGTGGATGGGCAGCTACAAGCAGATCCTGTGGGGAGAACCCCTCCCAGTGTGTTTCACCACATCTCTCTTCCACAAGAGAAGAAACTATAATTGGATAAAAATTAGCGACGGCCTTGCTGAGAGAAGTTCCTTTAAAAATAAATCCTCCTTTACATCTTTTTTAACTTTCCAGTCCCTGCCACGCTCCCCCACTCCATCTGCCTCTCACACAGGGCTATGCC